TGAATGAATGGAAACCCAAAATCTCTGTAAATGTTTATGAAAATTAATAAAATATAATTATAGGAAAAAACAAAACAAACAAGCCAACAAAAAAACACACTCTATTCTGCCCACTCCACCCTTATGATTCTCTTAAAAAAACTACAAAAACCCAAAAACTCTGTAAATGATCCAGCTAGGGCTGAATTTCTGAGGCCTGAATTAGGATGATGGATTCCATTCATCATCTCTATCTTCTTTAGGTGTAAACTCCTTTGCTCTCTGATGCCTCAAGGTTGCCCTAAGATGAGGCAGGGAAACGAGTCCACATCCTCAACCATGGAGCTGATTCCAGTGTCACACTGGTCTTCCCACCACCGTACAATGATCAATTTGCCACTTTAATACTTGAAGTCGTAGGAAAAGTATTTTGCAATAAGGATTTATTTTCTTACAATATGGATTTAAAAAAAAATACAAGTTGAAGGAAGCAGGCACTGAAAATTAGATTTCTGAATAAAAGTAGTTTTCCTTACTGGCTGGAAAATCTATAGTAGTGATTAAATACTGTGGATGCAATTCTGCACAGATTACGTGAAATTAAGGCTTCATATACACACCAGTTTCCAATTTGCTAATCAACTATCAATTTAAAGGACCATTCTGCAAACTTATCCGAAAACTCTATGTTTAATGTTTGTTTTGACACAACTTTCTTTTCTTTACCTAATTAAGCAACAGCCGCTATACAACTTTTTATAGGGAATAAAGTAACCTTTCTACTCAGATTCATTTTACTATTGGCTTTAATGAAAACTTAATAATGCCCACATTCTCAAAGGGAAAAACCGTAATGAACTTAAGATATCGCTATACTTCTTAAACAAAGCATGTAACTTGGCAAAGCTGATAACTTTAAAAAGCAAAAAATTAGTTATCACTGAGACATCTAGACAAGCACAGTGACCTGGTTGATGGTAGAGATCACTTCTCTCTGGAGACCTGATTTCACCCTTAAACACGTGCCCATCTGTAAGTCATCTGTTTCAAACTCATGGGTGTTTGTCCTCGTGAGACAAAGTAAAGAACACACCCTTAAGTACAGTTCATCTATTTTAAAAAATGGAAAGGTCTCCAGGTCATAGATAAAGAAAAGTTTTCAGGTGCTTCACACATAAAAGGAGAAACAACAATTCTCAAGTCAGTAATGTCCCTTTTTTATTTAAAAAAGATTGGTTCTCAAAATGGTCAAATTGTCCTATAGGAATGACTTTGGAAACTTTCTACAATTGCATATTTTTACCCAATAGTCATTATAAGCTCTTCAACTAAGGTAAATTAAAATTTATTTTAGAGAAAGTTAATTCTTCAAAATATAAAAGATTACCTACTTTTTATTTTACTGTTTGAAACCAGTAACAGTTTAAACTTAAGATATATACAGTATTTTTTAAAAATGAGATATTTCCAGTCTTCTCCGTAATACCCAGGAAAATTTTACAGCTGACATCACCAACACAAGCTCTTGGGACCTTCTGAAGTCTTCCGAAGTTTATATCTTGGCCGACTATTGGTGGTCACCTTCAACTCGTCTCTTGCGAACTATGAGAAAAATGCAAGAAATATGTTAGAAATCCCTATTAACACTTAGTTGTTAACATTCTGTAAGAACCAAAGTTTCTGAACTATCCAGTTATAATTGTTCACTTTCAAGCCACACGATGATTACACATTTCACCTGCTGAGAACTGACAGGCTTTAGAAAGAAAAGTATGTAAGAGCATGGGGATCACTGGTGCTTACACAAGTGCAACATTAGAAACGTGAAAAACAGACTCTTCAGCAATTCTCTTTTAGTCAGTGCCTGTTTACTGAAAGAAGATTAATACATTAATTACTGTGTTAAATTGTCAAAAACATGCAGGCATTTGGGATTAGAGTAATAAAAACAACTCCTGGTATGCTCTTCTGTTTAAACAAAACGTTGGATTTCCTTATTTATAAAAGAATGTGTCACACCATTTTTGTGATTTTTATAGGTAAGTGGCTTGTTAATATTTTCCATATGTTCATTCTCTTGACTTTGACAAAATGATCTGGCTGAGGGTTCAGGACAACAACAAAAGTAAAATAATGAGTATCTTAGACTTTGGTCATGTGGATGGTCATTTCTGCTGCGATAAGCCTGCGTCAGCCAGGTGGCCTGTCAAAGAAAGTACATATATCTTTACTGAGGACCCACATCTTCATGGACTGGGAACCCTAAACCACTTGGCTGGGCTCAGTAAGAGCCTTCAGCTTCAGAATCCAGTCACCTTCACACCTAACTATCAGCTACCGGAGAGCATCTACCGGACACCACCAGTTCAGATCCCTTCAGGGTTGCGGCCAGCTTCTACTTAGAGAGGCAGTGTTTGACAGCACAAGTAGTACTGGTTTTGGGGTCAGTGACAGCGTGCAAATCAGGGTTCTGTCACTTTATGGTAATGCTTCCTTTAGCAACCTGAGCCTCATTTCCTCCTCTGTAACAGCAGAACTGTACTATCTGTACTTCATGACTGTGCAGCTGGGAATAAATAAGCTACACTGCTTAACACAGTAGAATGCTTACTAGCGTACAATGAAGGATAAGCATCCCCAACCTCTGCCGTTGCCATGGTTACAAGACATTTCTGAGGCCCTCGTTAGCCATATTTTTTGAGGCAAGAAAAGCTCATTTAGTTATTACTGTTAGAGGATATGCATTAACGGGCTATTAATTTTTATATTTCCCAATAACAACTTCTGCTTAAGTTAGGTGACTGCTGTATTAGCTTTTGCCTGTCTTTTGGCTGTGGAAAAGAGCAGGAAAGCAACTGACCCTGTTGAGCTGGATCAGGCTGTTTGGTAGCAAAAACAGGGCCTCAGACTGGCCCATCTAGGGTTTCCTTCTGAGAATTTTCATTTCCACCCTAGAGGGTAGAAATGAAATCAGAAACTACAATTTAAAAACAGCCCAGGTGATTCTTACAGATCTCGTTAAACTGTAGATTCTGAGTTAGTAGACTGGGAAGGGGGGGGAATTCTCAGCAGGGGCCAAATATGAATGAACCATTTTGAAGCCCTGATTGAAACAGCCAGCCATTAGGTAGACTTGGCTGGTTGGTAGGGCTTTGGGTGCCTTTCTCACACTGTCCTGATTGTTGGTATATTCGGTGGCCTTCAACAAGACAAGGCTGAGCCTGCAGGAGACATGCACTAAAGCTTTTCCGGGGTTGGCTGTGTGCTGGCTAGGAAACAAAACGGAACAAAATCAGCACCAGGAGCACTAGAGTATCAAGTTCCTAGGGACATTTTTGTCATTATCTAATCAACTTCACCCTGACTCTAATTTTAGTCCATTTTAAACAGGTGTTTACTCAAATATTAAGGGAGGAAGGGGAAAGGGGCTTCAAATACAAGTTTAATTAGTGGATGTATATAATTATTTGGAAAAACAGAAACATCTTAAAGGCAAACTCTAGATAATACTGCAAATTAGAAGACTTGAAAGAAAACTGTGGATTGCAGCCGGGGTTGGATGTTATTGGCAGAACAGTTCACACTTAATGACTTGTCTAAAAACTCCACACGTTATACACATGGCTTGCAGGAAGAGTACAGCAAACAAAGAGTCACAGAATTGTTCATGTAGTTAGCCAGTGTGATGGGAATAACACCAGACTCAACGTTCAAGGAAACAATGCATCTATACCATACAGCGTCTCTGCTATGACTGTGGCACTTCTTAGCTGGAGAATTATTTCAACAGACAGCTGAGACTAAGAACACAGTGAGAGCTGCAAAGATATCAAAACCAGAGCATTAGGGAGCTGATGCAGTTCGAGTTGCAAAGGAAAACTGTATGCCCAAGAGACTCTGTGTAAGTTTCCAGTGCCGTTCTTTGATATTTCCTCTGAGTTACTGCTTTCAGCCTGCTGAAACCTGTGCGGAGGAAATGTGTTCTTCCGTTTGCCACTATCATCTAAAGGCAGAGATGAGAATGTGAGGTTGGGGGAAAAGAATTAAGCTGTGAGCGGACAGTAACCTGCTGCTTCTGCGTAGAGAGTACAGCAGAGGATGGGGCTTTCAAGGCCCCCTCATCCTCTCTTCCCCACTGCTGTGACTGCTCTTCAGTCATTTACCGAAGCCTAGGAAATACTCTTCACTTCCCCCCTTAGCTGCTGAAATCTCCCTTGCTCTAATGTTGAATGTTTCTTTATTACAGGAATTTGGGCAAAGTGCAAATTGGAAAAGCTCAGTACAACAGAGTTAACTGCTGAGGCCACGAAAAGGCCAGCGGCCCTGCAGTGCAAATCCCGGCTCCCTGCTGCAGGGACAGCCACTGGGACAAATGCTGGTGGGATGGACTTGAGTGACAAATAATTAGGGCCCTATAGTTGTTGGTGTGATTCTGGAAAAGTCAGGGTAGTTTCAGAGGAGAAAGGATGATAATATAAGATACATGTGGGCTAAGTTCACGGCTATTCAAGTTACAAAAAAATTGGAACTTTGGGCAGGATTCAAATTCTTCTTTATTCACTTAATAATCATCTTATTAAACACCTACTATATATGAGCTTAATCTGACGTACTTTGGACATGTTGTAATGAGAGACAGGTCCTTGGAGAGGGACATGCTTGGGAGGGTGGAGAGACAGCGCAGGAAGGGAAGACCCTCTATGAGATGGATTGATTCAGTGACTGGGGTAATAGGGATGGGTGTCAGAGGCAATGAGACTGGCACAGGACAGAGCAGGGTTTATGGCTGTTGTACATGGGGTCGCTATGAGTTGCAAACGACTTGATGGCACATAACAACAACAACATCATATTTGAGGCAGAGAGCTATGGTGACTTGGTACTTAGGAGTTGTGCTGCAGACCCAAAGGCAGCTTATCTGTATCCACCAGCTGTTTCTCAGGAGGAAAATGAGCAATTTTGTCCCATGTCACTTACAGCCTCTAAAAACCCACTGGGAGGTCAGCTATGGCCCTGATTCTCCGACTCAAAGGCAAGAAATTAGGTTATATTTCAGGCATGAATTTAATAAAGTTAAATTCTTTGAAAAACTACCTAACCAGTTATGTAAAAAGTCTATCAAATGTTGTGAGAAGTAGCAGATGGGATATGGGACACACCTGCTCAAGGTGTACAATGAGGGACTCGGGAGTCAAACTGCCATTTAGACCAGGAGAATCAAGGCAGCTGGCACCAGGGGTGGACCATGTAGACAGCATAGTATCAGTGGGAGTAACTATTAAAGGTGCCCATGCTGAAATCCCATCCCAAACGAATGAATCAGAATCTCAAGTTGTTGCTGATTGCCTTCGAGTCGAGCACGACTCATAGCGTCCCTATGAATAAAAGGCCTGAAGCTCCTCTACAACTATCAACATTTATCAAAGTTCATAGGGTTTCCGGAGGCTTGTTGTTTAGGAAGTGAATCATACTCCTGCTTCCAACAAAGAGTAAGAGGGCCAATAATTTGTTTTTAAAGCTTTCTAATAATTTCTGAAGTTCAGTCAAACTTGTGAAAGACTATTCTAAAAATGTAAAATATACAGTAAAACACACTCACACACACACACACGCACGCCCCCCAACAAACTAGGAGTTAACTGGTGAATCAATACTAAAACAATTCAAGTGACTTTGCAAACTACATCTACAATCAGTATACCAAAGCACATACCTATCCACATGCCCAGATTTTCTATTACAACAAGCAAGGTGCTAAAACCTTCCTTGGGAACAACAGCCACACAAAGGGCGGAATGCAGATCCATAATGACTTGGATCCAGTGGGGATCTATAAGGATGGGGTAAGAATGGTGGGCATAGTTCAATGGTGATTAATTTTCAAAAATGCAATGAATGGGAATGACTGGGTAAAATAATGTGTATAAAATTCGTATGCAAACCAATATGAAATATAATTTTTTTGTTCATTATTTTAAAATTTTTTAAATTTTAATTAAAGTTTACAGAGACTTTGGATTTCCATTCATTCACTGTTGCAAAAATAAGTATTTTTCTTAAAAAATAATATGGCTGCCCTCAAAACTCTTAAAGAATATAACTGAAACACAGCCAGAGAGTCCCTCCCAATTCCCAAGACTACACTGCGATCTCAAAGGCAAGTGGTTCAGATGCTCTGCTAGAGAAGGAGGGGCAATCTCCTCCTCTGTCAGTTGGATCTGATTTGATGGTACACAAGAAAGAAAAAAAACAAACCAAACCAAACAAAAAACAAAAGTGAAAAACAAAAACAAAAAGAAAAAAACAAACATGGCCAAAGTTTAAAAGAACTGCACTGCTCTGAAACGTTACCCTCTTTGCAAATTCTTAATTTTTGTCTATAATGCATCTTTTCAAATGCTTTTGTAACAAACACCATAACATAAAAAGGAGAAGAGTCAACTTTTGGAAGTACATAAAAACAAAATCATTAACACTATATTCTTTAATTGAGTGTTAGGCCTGAACATTTATTTGAAGAGGTCATAATGTTAAGCAGTTAAAAAAAGCAGCATGAGATGATGGAAGACCATGAATTTAGAAGGGCACAGCGAGAAGAGAAACTGTGCGGTAAGTTCTGGTAGGAGACCTGTAAGACACCGCAAGTATTTAGATACCAGTGACTACAAAACGCAGAATAAAATGATACTTACTCTGTATTTTATCATAGAAAAGAAGATTCCTATCAAGGAAAGCAAAATATTTCCTACAATATGGAAATCTTTCACAGTTCTGAGGACTAACTTTTAACCAAGGACAAAATATATGTTATAGGAAACATTTGTTTAAAATGCTTGCTCAGGATGTTGCTTACTTAAAGGTGTAAACTATGTCAAAAGAAGGGGACTTTTCCTACCCATCTGATCATCATTACCATGTCACTGAAACGGAATTTGGTCAATATAAAAAGGACTATGCAGATTTTAGAAATAATTGTCAAGTAATTCTTTTTGTTAATTACGACCTAACTTGGGAGGGTCTGGAGTTAAGTGAAACTAACTCAGGTCCATAAAGAAAAATACTGTGTAAGTACATTATTGTAGAAAGAGAAAGATAACTAGTAAACGTGTATGAGAATCCAAGAGTGGAGGGTAGGAACAGAGGGGTGAGTACAGGCAGGGGGTAATCACAGGGTCACACAATTTGATGGGTAGAAGGAGGGGTGGGTAAAGGAAATGGGAAACATCCAGTGTGAAAACAATGTATACAAACTTTGTAAAAATAAACCAGTACAAAATAACAAATTTATTTAAAATAAAAGTAAAAGTCGCTCCTCAAATGCATTAGTTTAAAATCTCATTCAGAATTTCAACTAGTTAGATCTTACCTAAGTCATTGTTTTTTGTTATGGCATTAGCTGCCCTGGTCCGGGGTCCTTGCTGTGTAAACTGATATCCAAATTTAAGGATATTTGTATTTTCCTCAAGCATCTTGGCCATTTCCAATTCCACAGCTGTCCCCAACTGCTGCCTCTAAAATAATGAGAAATAAAGAATATTAGTAAATTACATCAAAACACCTTATGCAAATGCTGCTGCTGCTGGTCTTTCAATGTCCCCAGTTCTTCAGAACAAATGTAAAATGTTTAAGTTCATTACACTATCAAATGGACATAAAAATCAAGGTCAATTATTGCAATGAGCTCACACCTGGGTACGGGCACCACCAAGGCTCTGAGCAGTGCACTGGGCGGGCAGGTTAACCTGCAGTTACCCTAAATTTTCTTCTCACACACACACACACACATATAAAGAGAGAGAGATTGCTATATGTCGTTGAGTCACTTGTGACTCACAGCGACCCTACGTACAAGAGCCCTAAACCCTGTTCTATCCTGCGCCAACCTCACTGTCTGACACCACTACCCTCATTACCCCAGGGACTAAATCAATCCATCTTATCAAGGGTCTTCCTCTCCTGCGCTGTCCCTTCACCCTCCCAAACATGGCATCTCTCTCCAAGAACTGGTCCTTCCTCATAACATGTCCAAAGTATGCCAGACGAAGCTTCAGAATCCTTGGCTCCAAAGTGCAGCTTGGTTTCACTCTCTCTAGGTCGAAACTATTTGTTCTCCTAGCAGTCCATGATATATTCAATACTCTTTTCCAGCACCACAGCTCAAAGGCATCAATTCTCCTCTATCGAGCCTAGTCATTGTCCAGCTCTCTGACATATAGCAAGCAACTGCGAAGACTATGGCCTGGATCAGGTGCACTTTAGTCTCCAGACTGACTTCATTGCTCTTCAGTACTCTGGAGAGGTCCCTGACAGCAGACGTTCCCAATATAATTCATCTCTTGATTTCCTGGCTGCTGGTACATAGAGTGTTGACTGTGGAGCCAAGCAAACTAAAACAGTTAATAATCTCAATCTCTTCACCATCCATACTAATATTGCCAATGGGCCCAGTGGTGAGAATCTTTGTTTTCTTGATATTGAGCTTCAATCCATATTGAAGACTTCAGCAAGCGCTTCAGAGTCTCTTCAGTTTCAGCAAGCAGGGTTGTGTCATCTGCATAATGCACGTTGTTGAGGAATCTTTCTCCAATCCTGATGCCACACTCCTCCTCGTACAGTCCAGCCTCCTGGATGATCTGTTCTGCATGTTGTTGTTATGTGCCGTCAAGTCACTTGTGACTCATAGTGACCCTATGCACAACAGCCCTAAACCCTGCTCTGTTCTGTGCCAATCACACCGTCTCCGATATACCCATCCTGATTACCCCAGTCACTGAATCAATCCACCTCATTGAGGGCCTTCCCCTCTTGCGCTGTCCCTCCACCCTCCCAAGCATGATGTCCCTATCCAAGGACCAGTCCCTCTTACGTTTCCAGAGTATGTTAGACGGAGCCTCAGAATCCTTGCCTCCAAGGAGCTGCCCGCTTTAACCCTCTCCAGGATGAATCTGTTTGTTTACTTAGCAATCTGTGATACCCTCAACACTCTTCTCCAGCACCACAGCTCAAAGGCATCAATTTTCCTTCTATCCTCCTTAGTCATTGTCCAACTCCCTGATGCATAACAAGTGATTGCAAAGACCATGGCTTGCCTGTATGAGATGCACCTTAGTCTCCAGAGTGACACCATTGCTCTTCAGAACTTTGGAAAGGTCCCTAAGAGCAGACTATCCCATCACAATATATCTTTTAATTTCCTGGCTACTGGTGCTAAAAGTGTTGATTGGGGAGCCAAGGAAAGTAAAGCTGTGAACAATCTCTGTCTCTCCTGATGCTGCCAACTGGTCCAGTGGTGAGAATCTTTGTCTTCTTGACATTGAGCCTCAATCCATATTGGAGGCTGCAGTCCTTGACCCTCTGCAGTAAGCGCTTTAGGTCCTCCTCAGTTTCAGCAAGCAGGGTTGTGTCATCTCCATAACACAGACTGCTGATAGATCCTCCACCAATCCTGACCCCACATTTCTCCTCATAGAGCCCAGCCTCCTGGATGATCTGTTCTGCATACAGGTTGAAAAAGTATGAAGACAGGACACATCCCTGGCGTATGCCCTACCCAATTTTGAACCATGCAGTGTTTCCTTGCTCTGTTCTGAAGACAGCCTCTTGGTTCAAGTATAGGTTTCGCATTAGCATGATCAAGTGTTCTGGGATTCCCATTCTTCTCTGAATCAGCCATAGTTTGTGACGATCCACACAGTCAAACACCTTTGCATAGTCAATGCAACACAGATATACATTCCTCTGGTATTCCCTGTTTTCAGCTAAGACCCATGTAACATTAGCTACAACATCCCTAGTACCACGACCCCTTCTAAACCCAGCCTGGACTTCTGGCAGTTCTCTGCTGATGTGATGTTCCAGTTGGTTTTGGATAATCTTCAGTAGAATCTTCCTTGCATGTGAAATCAATGATACTATTTTATAGTTTCCACACTTTGTTGGGTCAGTATTCTTTGGGATGGGAACAAATATACTGAAAATGTATGGAGACAGAATACATCCCTGGCATACATGCTTCCTGATTCTGAACCATGCAGTGTTTACTTGCTCTGTTCTGACAACTGCCTCCTGGCCCAAGTACACATTTTGCATAAGCATAATCAAATATTCTGGGGCTGCCATTCTTCTCAGAGTCAGCCACAGTTTGTTTTGATCCATATATGGTCCCCGAAATCCCTCTCCCTACCCGGCCCTGGGTTTCCATGCCATAAAGAGCAGCAGAAGGCTGTAGTTCTCTCAATTACTGTTGTTGTTCACAGACCTGGTTGTCAACCTTGAGCTCTGCCAGGGTTTCGTTATCTCTTAAAGCATCAAGCAGAGCGAGAATCCCAGTTCCTGTAATAAAATTGGACTCCATATTTAAACTCTTCAGAGTTTTGTTGACTTTCAGCATATCTGCAAAAGCCTAGAAAGTGAAAAAAAAAAGATTTAAAAAAGTAAAACCTTCTTAGCACCCATCTCGTTATATAGCCTATATGTCATAAATAACTAATTCATTATCATGATTGCCTTAATGTTTCTCAGTAAATTATTTTACTCCACACTTTCCATGTGTGCTCTATCACAATCTTTGACATTTTTATTTACATTTTTAAATTCATTTATACCCTGTTTCATTTTTTCTCTGCAAATCTCACATTCCCTCGGTTTCTGTGTGGGAATAATCTATCAGTATTTCTTGTGGGACATTCCTCCTTATTTGAGAAACAGGAGCAGCCAGTAGATCTGAACTTTTAACCTTTGAGTTAACAGCCTAATAAATACTACAGACTATGCCACCACGGCACCTGAAAAGGGCTATTGAGAGAGGAAAATATAAAGTCAAAGTAGGATAAATGGGAAATTGTGGGATTGGGAATCGGCAATATCTGGAAATTTCCCACCAAGAAAGTAATACATGAGCAAAGACTTGCATAAAGAGATGGTGTAATACTAAGTGGACTATCTTTAGGGCTAGAAATAAAGAATAAGAGTAGAATGAAAAACAAGCAAACAGGAGATGAGGTCTGCTTGCATAAGGGTGTTGGAAAAACTCTGAGAATTACTTTTAGTGACATGGGAAGCTGCCAGAGGTTTCTGAGAACATGACTCACATAATCCCTCTGGATGATGCACAGAGAACTAGGTTTGGAATGAGTAGCATGGAAGCAGATAACTCAATTAGGAAATCACCACAGTAACTCAGAAGAAAGAATATGGTGGCTTGGACCAAAATAGTAGTTGTACAAATGGCAAAAATTGTTTGGATTCTAAAAATGTTCCGAAGATCAAGCCTGAATATGTGCTCAGGGCATTAAAGAGGGCAATGAAGGATGACTACTTTTTGAGTCAATGAAAGATCGAGATTGCCATGTAAAAAGGGAGAGAAGGGCATGAGAGAAGCAGGTCTGGGTGTACGTCTGAGGTTTGGTACTTATATATGACAAGTCTATTAGACAGTCACATAAACTTGCTGCGTGGGCAGCTGGAGGTGAGTAGAGAGTTCAGGAAGAGAAACAAACTAGAAATGATTCTCTTGGGAGTCTTCAATATATACAGACGACAGGAAATGAAAGAGAATGTGAGCATAAAAGCAAAAAGATGTAATAAAGGACATGATTATCTCAACAGATACAGGAAAAGCATTTGAGAAAAATCTAAGACCACAATCATAAACGAAATACTCTCCAGGTGCTAAAACAATGGAGATTTTTAGGTACTGACATCAAGGTATCTAAGGAGTTCTGCATAATCTGCTGCTAACCAAAAGCATGCTAGTCTCCCATGGTTCAAATCCATCACTGGTTCTGTGGGGAAAAAATAGGCAATCTCTTTCTGTCATGATTTGTAGCTTGGAAATCCAACGGAGGCTTGACTCAATGACACAAAGTGAGGGAGTGAGGGAGTGATGAACGGATCTTTAGGATACACTGGCGAGTGAAAAGTCAAGTTACAAAACAGCACACATAACTGCATGACTATGTTTTAAAAAATTCATTAAGAAGAAAAGAAAGGCAAAAATAACATGAAGTGGTTTGCATTAATAGGGAGGCAAATACCAGGAAAAAGGGGACACATCGTGTTCTTAAAATCAGAGTCTGAAGGCGCCTGATTCGAATCTACCAGATTCGCCGCTGGAGAAGGAGAGTCAATATTCTCCTGTGCCAGTCAGATCTGATTTGATGGTACAGAACAGTAAAAGGAAAAAAAAAATCAGAGTTTACTCATCTCTTTAACACACTATAAATCAAGACTTTAAACATCACTCTTTATTTGGTGGTTGCTGTGTTCCAGAGTCAGAATCGACCCACAGCTGACCCTCTGGTGGGCTTTCAGAAGCCGTTAATTGCATAGGAGAAGACTGCCAATCCTCCTCTCGTGGTGGAGCAGCTGGTGGCTCTGAACCACATGCCTTGGGGACTGCAGTGCACCTTCATGCCAGTAGGCCACCAGAGGTCAGTATATGGTTAGAATAGCAGTATTATCAATATTACTTACCACAGCAACAGGGTCATTGCTCCGGGTGGCTGCAAGACTGAAATATTTCACATGGGTGCTGGTTTCCAAAGCCTTGGCAAAATCTTTGAGGGTGGGAATTGGAATATTCTTGAAAAACAAAAGAATGTAAAATACTACATTTTAGCTTTCAGAAAATTCAGTTGATACCATCAAGTGCATATATTTGTACTTGTATTTCTTAAAATATAAATGCTTTAAAATACACTAAAAGGTATAAATATACATAAAAACTAGTCGACAAATAAAACAATGCAGGTTTTTACATATATATATTTGCCTTCTCTTTTGGGATCCACGTGTAGTAACTACTGCCCCAGAACAGAGAATGTAGCAACATTTTTCTGACACTTAGGTTAAAAAATATTCACTATTCGACTTGTACGGAGCTCTGGTGGTAGAAGTGGTAAGGAGGTGTGCTGCCATGCCAAAAGTCATGTGGTTTGACTCCATCAGCTTCTCTGTGGGAGGATGGGCAATCTCCTCCCATTCTTGTTGTTGTTACGTGCCATCAACTCATAGCGACCCTATGTACAACAGCTCTCAACCCTGCTCTATCCTGAGCCAACTTTATTGTCTCTGACACACCTACCCGATTGCTCCCGTCACTGAATCAATCCATCTCATTAAGGGTCTTTCTCTCTTGCACTGTCCCTCCATCCTCCCAAGCATGACATCCCTCTCCAAGAACTGGTCCCTCCTTACAAATGCCCAGAATATGTCAGACAAAGCTTCAGAATCCTTGCCTCTTAAGAGCAGCCTGGTTTCACCCACCCTATGTCGAACCTGTTTGTTCTAGCAGTGCAATGGTAAATTCAATACTCTTCTCCAGCACCACAGAGCAAAGGCATTAATTCTCCTTCTATCATCCCTAGTCATGGTCTAGCTTTCTGACAAATAGCAAGTAACTTCAAAGACTATGGTCTGGATCAGGCAAACCTTGTCTCCAGACTTCCCCAATACAATTAGTCTTTTGATTTCCTAGTTGCTAGTACCAAAAGTGTTAACTATGGAGCCAAGCAAATTAAAGCTGTTAACATTCTCAATCTCTTCACCGTCTTTCATGCTGCTGCCAATCAGCACAGTGTGAGAATCTTTGTTTTCTTGATGTTGAGCTTCAATGCATATTGTAGGCTGCAGCGCTTGATCTTCTGCAGCAAGTGCTTCAGATCTTCCTCAGTTTCGGCAAGCAGGATTGTTATCACCTGCATCACGCAGACTACTGATCAGTCTCACTCCAATCCTGATGTCACATTCCTCCTCATAATCTAACTATTTTATTTACTACTCTGAATATCCAATGGAGGGTTATCTATAAGTTGATTATGACTCGACAACACTCAACAACACCACCATTCTACCCTTGATGATTCAAAGTGCATCCACAAGCTCTAAAGGGTATGGTCCCTGAGGCAGACAACATATAGTTGTTGGTCCCTTCATATACAAGGTACGATTAGCTCTAAAGCAATGAGAAAAAAAAGAATTAGATAAGGCACTAACGTATCTCTTTCATTCTTAAGCAGCACAGCTTCTTACCGCTAAGCTAACAGAGCTCTTCAATTCCCTGTAGCCCGCTAATTTTTAGCTCATTATTACTGACTTAGAGATACAGAGTGACTAAATCTTTTCTTAAAAAATTAAGATTAGCGATCAACTAGATCGCTAGAGCATTGGCTTTCCTTCCTCGGCTCACAGAAAGGAATTCCTATGAAAGAAGCACAAAAGTACCGCTCCACATAGCTCATGTAGCTCAGCTCTAGTTAGAATCAGGTGTTCCTCTCCCCACCCAGTTAAATCAAGATATAAAATGGGAAATCTGTAAGGAAGCTATTCCACATCCCTATCCAGATAAATCAAGACATCAATGAGGAAGCTGTAAAGAAGCTACTATACAAAGGCCCCTGCCCAGGGGAGCTCTGGTGGCCTAGTGGCAAGTAGCTGCAACTACAATCCCAGAGGTGCACAGTTCGAATCCACCAGATGCTCTGCCGGGGAAGGAGGGACGATCTCCTCCTGTACCAGTCAGATCTGATTTGACGGTACACTCACACAAAAATAATAAAAAAACAAAGGCCCATGCCCAACAGACACTTTTCTTTAGTCATTAATTACGTCTGTACACTCTCATTCACTTTATTCTCCAAGGAAAAAAATGGCATTTCTTTAAACCAAAGAAGACCCCAGCAAGCCCACAGTTAGGTGTTTCTTCAAGAATATATGAAAAGAAATATTCCCACGAAAACCTGTATGTGAATATTTACAATGGCCTTAGTCACTATTGCCCCAAACATCTATTAACTGGTGAATGGATCAGTGAAATGCAGCGTATCTACACAGCAGAATACTACTTGGCAATAAGAACTCAACAGTACAGATGAACGGACAAACTTCTGCCACACTCAACAACGCAGATAAATCTCAAATGCATTATGCTATGGACGATAGCTGCTTACTAAATTATTTTTATCCTTGTGACATTCTGGAGAATGAAAAATAATTGGGCAAAAAAGCGAATCATTGGTTGGCAGGAGCCAGTAAGTGACAGGGGAAGGCACAACCACAGAGGGGCAGAGAAGAACTTTTGGAAGTGATGGACGATTACATCATGATTGCTGTTACTGTTCTGTGCTGTCCAGTTGGAAGTGACCCATAGCCGACCCTCCAGTGGGTTTTCAGAGGCAGTTTATGGCACAGGAGAAGACTGCTCATCCTTCTGCGGAGCAGCCGGTAGATTCGAACCACATGGCTTAGGGATTGCAGCACAGCTTCTTACCATTGGACCACCAGAGCTATAGCATCTTGATTATAGTACTGGTAATATTACCACAAGCATTTACTGGTCAAATCTC